TTTGCCATCAAAGTGTTCACTTCTGGCGCTAAAGACAAGATTAAGTTATGTCGATCTTTAGCGCCAGAAAGACTAACTCCAGATAATTTTTAATATTTTGACCTGCTCTATTCAGTAAAGGAATCAACCGGTATGTGTAAGAGCCAGCCGGATGCTCAAGACGGTTAGGACGTAAGCTTCCGTGGGTCACACTGGATAGAATCCGGATGGTCGAAAAATCCCAGAAATTTTTCAGGGTTGTCTGTCCAGGATATGTCGGGTTCATCACTTGCTATCGACTGCTCTATTGTGAGCCTAACTAAACCCACAACGGGCTTGAAATAAAGATCTCAGTATCCACAGAGCAGAAAGAAGAAAAATGCTGTATACAAAACGAACAACGGCGTAATGAACATAAAAATAATGATATCGAAAATGAAATTCAATCGGATCCTTTAGTTTTTTGGATTTATTTATTTATTTATTTTTATTCTGTTTATCTTGTGGACGCTAAGAGGACTTTTTAATCATAATTATTGTGGGTCTGACTAGGCTGAAATAGGACGGTCGTGTGATGGAATACGACGCCTTACAAGTTTGGAAAAGCCCACTTTGAAAAATTCCTGAGATTCCTGACCACTACTCGAATCCGGATCTCCCATAGCGGTAGGATAACGCCTTTACCGCCTCGATTAATCGATCGTTAGGATCCTTCCTCAGTGGCTCATCCAGAAGGGGACAAAGGGGCCCTTGCACTCCCAAAGTAAAAGGAAAAGAAACACTAGCAAATTTTCCAAAAACTTTTTCCTAATTAAATTTTTTTTATTGTGTCGTATCTTCTATTTCTATATTACGAATACGCGGTCACATAAGGAGAAAATTTTATAGAATTTACATTAAAAATTTTTTATCCGTTCTACTCGGCTCCCCAAGACTAAATCTTGAGTACGTCACTGTCCCTCATAATAGAAGAAAGATTCCTTATCACGCGACCATTTGTCCCATTGATAACTGACTATCTCATATGAGGAGAATACAGTACATGCTTTACATGCTTCATTTATTTATTTGCCGTGTATAATAAAAAGATTACAATACGATTATCTTAAAATGAAAAGTGTTAAAAAATTCTAAACATAATAATAGTTAAACCACAACGTTAGTTATTAAATTTTAAATTTCTGTTGTATTTAAAAGAAATTTTAAATTGATGCAGTGAAGAAGTGAGTTCTAAACTAAAAAATTCAATAAAAGTTTATAATATTGTACAGAAATGAATCACTTATTTTTTAATCGTTTAATTATAAGACTACAGAAAAAGTTTATTTTTTAAATTCAAATATGAACAGATATTCAAACTTATTATGAACGATAATATTAAAAATTGTTTCGAGTCGACTTTACAATATTTCGTTTATTAAATTAAGAAATTTTTCAAAAACTTCTTACATAAAATTTCGAAAGAAAAACTGCTGACACCTTCAAGAAATTTTATATAATATTCTGTTCGTTTTTAAAGAATTTGTCTTCTTTACCATTGGTTTATTGAAGATATTTTTTTGGAAAAAGAAAGAAAAGTTAAAATTTGGCTGTTTCCTTTCTCTAAAGAATAGTTTATGACCGTTTTTCTTGTGAAATCCGGGAGAAATTTTCAAGAAAATATCGTTTCGGCTTACACTTCTGTTTGAACTTCTTGTATATCCTAGCATCATCCTCCTGCTGTCAACGATATGTTTTTCTGCTGTCAATAATAAAGTATTTCCCGAAGGATCTAACTGTCTCTATTATTGATGTTTCTGTACATGTTAGTATTTCCTATAAGGTTTACAATGATGTTTTCGTCACCATCTTGATTTTTGTATATATTTCCTGGTCGCTAACTCCAGTAAAGAATGGATAGTTCAGGTACTGTATATAGTTATAGCTCTTTCAGGACACAGGTCCCATACAAAACATAATTAATTAAATAACATAAAATTAAAAATTTTAATTAATATTTTAAACGAAAAATATTTTGTTAACAGAAGTTAAATTTGATTTAAAATACTCTTTTGACGATGAAAAATCGTGAATTAGTTTGAATTTCTAATTATAAATAGACTTATATCAATTTGATTTAAAATAGCTTATAAAATGTTTCAATATTATTATTCGTTTATACTTTAAATATACTTATTTAAGTCTAAAAAGTCTACTTACTTTACTACGTGTGGAAATAATTTTATATTTTAAAACTCGTATAAATTTATTATATATTCATTATTAAATTTATTTTATATTCATTATATAGTAATTTAAGAAATTTTTTTGTTAGATTTATATAAAATATAAATTAATAAAACAATTTCTCAATTTATAATTAAAACTGTTAATATAACTTTGAAATATTCAAAGTTAAAAGAAAAAAAGTTGTCTTATGATATGTAGCTTACAAAACTGCAATATTTTTAGCCAAAATATAAGACAATAAGAACAATCGCTTGATTAAAAATTATCAAAAATTTTATAATTTGTTAAATCTAGATTTAAAAAATATATTTTATATATAGCTCTACAGTATAAATCAATATTTTATCTTATTTGAACATTATTTTAAAAATAAAAAAAAGTTTAATAATTATGTCACTCATGTTATTGTCAAGCTTAGTTTATCATAAATAGAATTATTTAATATAAAAGTCATGAATACTAACAGTTTAAGAATTATATTTTTTATGTATTTCATATTCTTTTTTTAATATTAAGTAATAATTAATTACTCTAATTTTACTGCTTAATAATGAGAACTTCTGAACAGTATATAAAATATATTGATTAAATCTTTAATATAAAATCTTCAAGAGCCTCTATTAATCTACGCAGTCTTACCGAATGCGAATTAGATCAGAACTATTTTGATTATGTTATCGATGTTGAGGAAGTAGGTCTATAGAAATAAAAGAATGAACCAGTTACGAGTCGTTCCTTTAAGAACATTGTTGATCTTAATCCAAAATTCGAATCAGACCTACGATGCAAATACTTTTAAGAAATTTATCGTTCGGATGATTAACTAACTACATTAAAGTCTTGTAAATATGTTAAAATATTGTATTGCCTTATATTTAATCCAAATACTCTATAGGAAATCTCAAACTTTTATCTATATGAAGACTATATATAAATAGAATAATTTGGATATTTCATTGAAAATTTCAAGCAATTATAATTAAAAAAAAAAAAAATGTATTATAACTGAAAAAGTTTGACCTAGGCCTAAAGACTTTCCAAATAATCGATTCTTCTGCTGGCACCTGAATGAACAAAAAAAAATCGATTCGCAAAAAATCGATCTTTCGATTCCTCTTTAAAGTGAGAATTTTTAAACTTTGTAATTATAGCAATTATACAATGTTATTAAAAGTCAGTTACGAATCAAAATATAATTAAAATATGTAATTTTTATTTGCATTATCTTTCTGAAAATTAAAATAATTACAAGAGCACAATAAATTAGTTTTCATAACTATCTTTAATTTAAAAAATCGATGTGTAATATTGAATAAAATTAGAAAACAAAGTTTAAAAATTTAAAAGTATTTTTTTCTTTTTGGTTAGATTTATCTTTTACAATAATGATAGATGTGTTACATTTTTTTAAGTAATTTTTTTCAGTATGAAAAATCTCATATATTCTTTAGCATTTATGAATTCCAGAAGAGATTCTTTATACAATCTTGCATTTTCAATGTTGATGTTTCAAGAGGAGTAGTCATAAATTAGAAATGGGAAGCTTTTTAAAAAAATCAGAAGGCTGATCCCATTTCAAAGGAATTTCACACGGCCACATATGATATTGCAAGTTGCATAACTTCATACATTCAGTATGCATGCACAAAAAATTTACATGTAATATGTTTGGATAGATTTTAATGAAAAACAGAACAGAAAATATACTTTCATAAATCAAAATTCATGCCATTTTATGAAGCCACACTATAAACCACAAATGGATGCCTGCCACCTCTGTCATTTAAGATGTTCGTATGAAATTACAAATAGACTCATAAAAGAATCCATAATCACAATTTTGAAATATTTATCCTTTAAACTGTAAAATATCGATTTAGATTTATTTACACAACAAAACGAATAAAATAAAACAAAAAATCGATTTATTTATCACGATTTCATCGATTAGTTTAAGAAATTGATTTTAAATCAGCATCTCTTGTTTAAACAATATAAGTTCAAAGTTCAATCATTAATATCGAACTTCTACACCAACTCTTCGATAAGGCATATTTGAAAAGTATTAAAAGTCTAGAGGTAATAAATATAATCTCATGAAACGATAAAATTCGGTTAACTAAATCGGAAATTGCAGTTCGAACTTATCGATAGTAAAAGAGAGATCGATAACGATTATTTAATTAAGCCACATAATGACTATTGTCTGAAGTCAAATCTTCAGTTCAACGATCTACATAACAGGAGGTAATTATCTAGAATAATAGCTGGCAGAAAATCTACATAATAAACACGGCTACTTCCGCTATTTCATTGTCTATTTATATAATACACATTCAGAGATGCGAAAAGATCCAGAAACAACGTTAAAACTACCAACAAAACATTAAAAAAAACAATGTTATAAACTTTTGAAACAAACTACTCTTATCTATTTAGCTGTTTTTCTTTGAGAACTTTGGTTTCTGAAACTAGATCTTTTCTTATATATTTCAGTTTCTTTTACAAAGAGAATTAACTTGCATAACTTTAAAAATTCTTTAGAAATTTCTTAGTGGAACTCAGAATTCGGTGGCTCAAAAGTCAAATAACTGTGTGTTTTGCAAGAAATTAAAGAAGTTTTGTCTGAAAATAGGCAATTTGCATATTTATATAAGACAGAAATTTAGTATTCACAATGATTAACAGATTTCTATGTCACTCCATATTTTTAACATTAGAATTTTTTGTTGGAATCATCAGAAAGATTTCTGTATTATTATTAATATTAATATATGAAAATTCATTCTTACCTTGTGTCTACCTTTAGGTTCGATTTTCTTTTCGTTTAAAAACCATTGCACTGTCGGTTTCGGATCGGCAGCGATAAGACATTCGAAGAGAAGACGGTCGCCATCGTCTTCTTGCCTTATCGTTGGCTTCTTTTCGAAAGTCGGCGCTACCCCTTTTCCGGGGCTAAAACGGTTATAAAAACAATATTAAAAAATGAATTTTACTAGAATGAACTCATTTATAAAAATACATAACGTTTAATTAGAATTAGAATTTATATATAAAATAATTCTTTGTAAATGTCAAAGTTGATAAACTGAAGCAGTAGAATTGATTCTAATGTATAAGTTTTAAAAAATGACAAATTCTGCAGAATCGTAGAAAATAAAATGGATCAATATACTACAGTTTATTTTTTTAAATTAATTTAACTTAGCTTAATTTTAATAGCATTAGAATAAATATACACTTTAATCATGAATATGTACTGCTTACTAAATTTATATTACTTTAGAAGAATGAAAAATATTTAGAATTTTCATCTCAATATAAGTCTGTTTTGTTGACGCCACAATCTATTAAAATACTGTATGTTACTTTAAACTAGGACTTATCACAGGAGGTCAATAGGACCAGGTATCTGAAAAATACTTGTTATAAATTATTCATCCTATTGAATTTCTCAAGTGTTAATAGAATAATCTGTAGTTTTTGTTAAATAAGATTTTTAACGCTAGTTTTTTTATTTTTAATAGATTTTTTTTAATACACTAGGAGTCTCAAAAAAAGGAAGTGGTTCCTCGACGTTTGAGAGGTCCTTATTAAATGTGCTAATTAGAAAAGAAAATCGATACTTATGTTAATAATTAAAACGGGCAAAATTTCTATAAATTTTATAAATTTTCAATGCTATAAACATATAAAATTAGCAGAAATAAAATTTAAGATGCAAGTTAAAGCGACTTAGTATAAAATGACGGAAAGACATGAAGAATCCTAACAACGTATTTTAGGCTTTAATTATGTGTCTCGTAACATCAAAGTGAATTTTGAAGGTGCGAAGATAAATAGCACGTCACTATTTTTTTTTCTCTTTTTTTTTGTCACTAGTTGTCCTGAATTAAAAGAAAACAACATTATTTTGTCCTTAATTATTTACAGTACATCACAAAAACACATTGTGATGTTCCTGTGTAGATTATTAGCAACGAAAATAAATAAATAAAAAGTTAATTTGAATTAAATTTTTTAAATATAATATTATTTAAATGTCGAGTTTAATTAAATTGTAGAAATTAAATCATTTACTTTTTAAATAAAATTTCACTAAGAATCATCTAAGAACAGAACAACATCGTAAGCAACGAATCCATTTTCTAATTTTAAATTGGGTTATACCACTTATAATATTTAAAATATATTTTTCTCTTAAAAAATCAAAAGATATCGTTCAATTAAATGTTAATTTTATGTTTGAAACAAAAGGGAGCGATTTATAGAGAACATGTGAATACAAAAGTGGATATCTGAGACAAAAACATCACGAGACTAAACTTCATCAAGGGAAACAATGGTCCTATTTAATTACAAAAGTTAAAAATGTATATCAAAGACCTCTTATAATTGCTTCATTCTTTTAACCCATCAATAATCCTCCATCCTGACTCTTAGAAGTCAGCATTAGTATTTTTAACTCAGAAATATTCAGATCACCCTTACAAACAGAAAATTAATCATATGAGACCATAATTTACATTGTTGCAGGCTTATAATGTACAGAAAGGAGTGTAAATATTTAAAATTAATTTCATTTCTTATATAACAACAAAAAAATGAATTTTTAAGAAGGATTCTTCATTGAAAAATGATACAAATTTTCATATTATCATAGTTATAAGATTGGAGCTTCTAAAAATATGATAACGTTTCAAGTCATCGCTGACATTTCAGGAGAAAAAAGAAAGCCCGAAAACACAACTGATTGGCTACGTTCCACCAAAGTCGTCCACAATTTAATAAAAAAATCTGAGAAAACAAATTCCACATGTGACAAGCTATACCCGGGGTGGCCAGCTATCCGTAAAATTGTTAGTGAAGCAGTCAAATCACGTAATGCGGAGAGTACACATTGATCCCAAACTATTTAATATCTAGAGCTTTAAAAATACAGTGTATATAATTCAGAGAAAATTTTATTTCATCCAGACTATATTGTTGTCTGGATAGAAATACACACATACATATAACTTTTCATACAATATAATATAACTATACAAAATCTAATAATATAAGTTTATAAATTCAATTTTAGTAAATTTAGTATTCACAATGATTAACAGATTTCTATGTCACTCCATATTTTTAACATTAGAATTTTTTGTTGGAATCATCAGAAAGATTTCTGTATTATTATTAATATTAATATATGAAAATTCATTCTTACCTTGTGTCTACCTTTAGGTTCGATTTTCTTTTCGTTTAAAAACCATTGCACTGTCGGTTTCGGATCGGCAGCGATAAGACATTCGAAGAGAAGACGGTCGCCATCGTCTTCTTGCCTTATCGTTGGCTTCTTTTCGAAAGTCGGCGCTACCCCTTTTCCGGGGCTAAAACGGTTATAAAAACAATATTAAAAAATGAATTTTACTAGAATGAACTCATTTATAAAAATACATAACGTTTAATTAGAATTAGAATTTATATATAAAATAATTCTTTGTAAATGTCAAAGTTGATAAACTGAAGCAGTAGAATTGATTCTAATGTATAAGTTTTAAAAAATGACAAATTCTGCAGAATCGTAGAAAATAAAATGGATCAATATACTACAGTTTATTTTTTTAAATTAATTTAACTTAGCTTAATTTTAATAGCATTAGAATAAATATACACTTTAATCATGAATATGTACTGCTTACTAAATTTATATTACTTTAGAAGAATGAAAAATATTTAGAATTTTCATCTCAATATAAGTCTGTTTTGTTGACGCCACAATCTATTAAAATACTGTATGTTACTTTAAACTAGGACTTATCACAGGAGGTCAATAGGACCAGGTATCTGAAAAATACTTGTTATAAATTATTCATCCTATTGAATTTCTCAAGTGTTAATAGAATAATCTGTAGTTTTTGTTAAATAAGATTTTTAACGCTAGTTTTTTTATTTTTAATAGATTTTTTTTAATACACTAGGAGTCTCAAAAAAAGGAAGTGGTTCCTCGACGTTTGAGAGGTCCTTATTAAATGTGCTAATTAGAAAAGAAAATCGATACTTATGTTAATAATTAAAACGGGCAAAATTTCTATAAATTTTATAAATTTTCAATGCTATAAACATATAAAATTAGCAGAAATAAAATTTAAGATGCAAGTTAAAGCGACTTAGTATAAAATGACGGAAAGACATGAAGAATCCTAACAACGTATTTTAGGCTTTAATTATGTGTCTCGTAACATCAAAGTGAATTTTGAAGGTGCGAAGATAAATAGCACGTCACTATTTTTTTTTCTCTTTTTTTTGTTCACTAGTNATTAAACATAAATTTTCAAATTAAGTGGCTCATACTTTCTATTTTTTATTTATAGAAGTAGATTAATAATAAATGCTATAGATTTAGATACGATACTATAATGTCACTGTTTTAAAAATAATAAAGAGGAAGGAATTTACAGCTCATTATATCTAATATGATTGCAATATTAAATGTAATGAAAGACATTTCTGTATTTCTTTAAAATTTATCATTCAATATAACTTATATTAATATTATATCATTAATATAACTTATATGAAACTAATATTATAGAATAATTCTATATTAATATATAGAATACACTAATTTATATAATGCTAATTACATCTATACATACTATTTTAATGTGGAATTTAAGCTGATATAAGTTTAAGTTTAATGAAATTTTCAAAAAGAATAAAAGTATTCATAGAATATATCATACTTTTTATTTTCTATAAAAATTTTTCTATTCAAGTTCTACATCTTTTATTCAATGACTTAAGAACGAATTTAACCTTTCTTTTTTTTATGTAATTGTTTGATTCCAGACCATGGAATCCTCTTGAGATGTAGCTAAGATATATCTCTACTTGAAAAATATTTTTTCAATGCATCCTTCAACATTTCTTATATTTAACTTTTGATAAGGGTCTATGCTTCCTTTACGATATCTTATATATATATAGGATTCTACTATAAAAATAAATTTAAGAATAAATAAATTGTTAGAAATTTTACTGAGGAATTATTCAATTGGAAATTAAATTAAACATGAATTTTTAACAGTTTAAATCCTTAAATATAGGCAAATTTCTACATTCTATTAGCACAGTGCGTTAAACTTTATTTTTCTTTTACTATTTTTAAATTTTAATTTTAACAAAATTCAGGAAATTCGATCATATGCTCCTATTTTGGCATAAAACTACATAGAGTTAAATTGAAATGTTTCTATTTTAAAAATTTCTTGAAAAATTTCACTAATGACGTTATTCGACACTAATTCCTTCATCGAAACGGAATTTTTAAAAATAATTCATTATTATTAAGCTCTTAAATTTGGAAAAATTACATATGTCTCATCTGCATCTAATTTTAGTAATTAAGTCGTTTCGTACTATAAAAGAAATATTGAGAAAATAATAATTTAAACAAAAGGGGAAAAGTATTGTTAACTAAGAAGAAAGTAGAACGAGTCGGTTGCCAATTTGTCAGAAGTTGCAGCCAAATTTAAATCGAGTTTATGTTAGTTGTCTTGTAATTAAGCTCAGACTACGACTTGGTACCAGATGAAATCTTGTAAGAGAAACCAGACATTACAACTTCCTATCTGTATCAGTCAATCACTTTGATTCATTTGACTCTTGTACTTAATCCTATGGCTAACTTTAAAAAAACCCACCAAAAATTTTAAATAAATTTATAGACTTTCGAGCAAAATTAGTTAAAAATCTATTTATTATTAACAATTTGCCATAAATTAAAAATTTGCCGTTATATTTTGTCCTTTTAGCGCAATTAAGTAACTGAGATCAATAGTTTAACCACACTACAGTTTAAAAAATTTATTTCCTTAAATTAACAATGAATAAGACGTATACGTATGTATTTTAAATAAATTTGCAACAAATTTATTGACTTTTCGAGGTTAATTTGAGCAAATTTATTCCGTATTGATATATCTCTTCATGTTTCTGTCATTGTAACTAATGCGGTGCTTCAGATGTTTCGTTAAATCGTTTGATACATCATTACTTCACTACAATCTCCATGTTTGTTATTTTACCTATATTCAGAAGATGATCTCATTTAAATTCCGTATCGAATTAAACTTTCTCGGAACATTGAATATTTTAGAATTGCTAAAGAAAAACAGAAAATCCCTCTTTCATTGTGACCGTAAATACATTTGATGATCTAAAACAAGACATTGAGAACGGTGTTAAACCGACCGCTAATGGAGATGTGTTAAAGGGCTGTTGTTCCGATATTATATGTATATAAAAATAAGAAATAAAATACAGTTTATGCTATCTTTGTAAAATAAAACAAATTCTCTTTTATTTTCATTTTTTTATGCTTTGAAAAAAATATGCTTAAATTATTAGAGCAATTAGAGTATTTATTCTTAGAAACAATTTTGAATAAAAGCAATTAATTTTAACAAAAAAAATTANCTCCTCAAATATTAGATAATTGGCTTTTGAACAATATATTCTCTTATAGAAATGTGTAAAGTTATTAAATTGTATTAAATATATTTACTTAGTTATTAATACATAAGTAACTCAATAAATTACTTCAAAAATGTAATAAAATTACATGAAAGTTAACGTTTTCGCTCAGCGATTATTACATTTTAAAAAATTAATTTTCAATAATTTTTCATCAAGACAACAACTAATGTATCGTTTATATACGCATTTTTGCATCTGGAAAATAAATTTTTATATATTTTATATCATTCTTACAATCTTCAATGATTTTCTTAGAAACTGTTCATTCGTGTGATATCGTGTTGTCGTAATCTCAATTATTAAATAAGCAAAGATACAATAATTCTTTGTATAACCTGCGATCGAATTTCTGTGTCAAGGCTAGTCTCGATTGCTATCAACGTAATTAGCAACTTACTTTTCTGATTGATGCCGTTCAACATCTAGTGAAAACATTTCCAGCAGGTTTTTTTTTTTTTTCTGGTGGAAATACTTTAAAATTCGTAAGTATCAATTTATTGTTACACGCAAATTCTCTTAAAGCTATATAACAGATCATCCTCTCTTAATTTTATGCACCTTTATTACATAATAAAGTTAATACACACTAAACAGAGGACATTGCTCCGATAGAAAAGCGAAATAAAATTTCTAGTAAAATACTTCTTGTAACCTTGATATGATGCCAAATCGGTAATAGCAATCAGTACGGAGCCAAGTTTTTTAGCTTATTGGACGCAAGATTTCGGTCTTTACACCTTAATGACTTCTCCGAGACATAAATCAGACCTAAATTGTTTTCGTCTTTCAACAAATTTTAATAATAACAACCGAGATATACTTTAAATGGTACCTATAAAACAAACAATTTTTTGGATAAAAGATGCACCACCAAATAGAGAAAGATAGAATTTATTATATTTTATCTAAAAATAATTTCTACTATACCTTAACAATGTTACTTTAACCTTAACAATGACATAGTTTATGAACTTTTATATTGGCTATCTTTCAAGATAAACTAAAAAAATCATAAGCGATTTTTCGAATATGTAAAGAGTTTACATTGACAAAAGTTTTACGACCGAATTTACCTCGATATTTACGGATTTATTACGAAAAGAATAACTATAAACCTTCAAGTATCTTACTAGATTTAGTTAACTCTTGTATTTAAGAGAGATTTAGCTTTAAATCTAGAATTCTCATTACTTCTTTTTATTGATTTGTAATAATAACAGTCCAACAAATATAGTGATTAAAGATTTATAGGGTGTAAGCTAATTTCTTCTTTTGAGAATATGCTCCAAGAAAGTTGGGGTAGGAAAGTTTAAATAAACATGGTGGCTAGTTAGAAACATATCCATTTGATACTGGAGATGAATCTTAACCTAAATGTTTGCCAAGGCATAAGAATACTAAAAATACTTTTTCGGGGACCTAACTTAGTGTTTTTTGATATTTGTAGAAACACCTGCAGTGTCAGCAATGATCTTTCGGGATATTCTACAAGTATCCTAATTTATCGCTTCCTCTCTTTAAATGCAATGTAATACCGAAAGTACCGTAACCGACATCTGGTAATAAAATTAGAGAAATAGATCTGTAATTTTAGGACGTAAGATTATTCTTTATATATATATATATATATTGGTTTCATTACTAGAAAGATAGCGGATAATGATACAGGCGTTTCTGAAACGGGTTTTGAGTGTTACATATTACAATTTGCAACTTGATTATATGCAACTTTAACTCGATTAGATAATAACTGTTTGGTCGCCAGTTTTGTTACATATTAATAAGCCAAAATATTCATGCCAAGAATATGGCACATGAAGTATATCACGTGTTAAACCGAGCAAGACTT